ACAAGTTTCACCAACTCCTCCTTCCTCATTCCTTCCCTTGTGGAGAACACACTAGTGTCGATATGGCTTAAAGAAGTCCAGCCGATGCAACATCTGTCCCCGCCAATTGCTAACAGTGTGGATCCATTCCTGCCCCTACCGAAGACGCCTGTATTTGTTTACTTGTTCCTTCGTCTGTTTGTGCTTGCCAGCCAGCCCACAGAAGGGAAAGAAATGACTGTTTGGGAGCGATAAGACCTGTAGGAGAGGAAGAGGAGGAAGAAGAACAGAGAAAGTGGGAGAAGGAGAGCCGACGGAGAGAGAAGCAGAGAATCCTCATTGATCACGTCTGTTCAGAGATGGATTGATCTGTGGTGCGGTCTTCTCTGGGATCTGAACGGAATCGCGTTGACAATAACACACACACACATGCACAGATAAGAGAGTCGCTCACAAACCTAAACAGTAAATCAGGATGTGAGATTTTAGCTGGCTTGATTAAAATTTAAGGGGAGCTTAGCAGAGGACTGCACAAGGTAAATCAGAATATGAGCCCCTCTTTCAAAGTGTTTACATTATTCCTCTACTCTTGAATTAAGCCTGTGAATCAGACACCTGGCATATGGAGAGGCAGATAGATAAATCTCCATTGTGCTGTCCTGTCTCGCACATGCTCAGTAGCCCCCTGGATGAGCGTGGACAGACGCGAACAAGACAGATCATTCCCAGGGGGGCATTTATTTCTGTTGCACGACACAATCCCCTCATTGCCGGTCCTAACAATCTGCCTTCTGAGACTGTAACATCGGAATAAGAGAGACAGCTCAGCAGAAGAAGGGACAAGAGGAAAACAGGGAAGGAAGTGATAAAGGGGAAGACAGATTAAGACTTCCTGAGCACTAAATAAATCCTCCACTGTAGACAGGTTTACGTTGCAACCCAACTTTGATCATATTCAGTGTGACCCGCATGGATAAATTATTTGATTTTCAACAGCCAAAGCAGGACACCCTCTTTCCGCTTGATTGTTCAGATAAGGAAGCGTGGTGATGTCATTAAGTGCCAGTTGTCGCCTCAACTCCCTTCTGTTTTTCGCTTGTGAGGGAGAAGCAGATACCCAAGTGGTGAGTCTGTAGCTCTCCCCACCTCCTCCTTTTCTTCTTCGGTCTCGTATTCCTCTCCCTGCAGCCGACTGCTCCTAAATCTCGGGTCTGGCCGGAGCTAGACAGCTCTCTCTACCAGGTGACACAACATCCCACTTCCCTCCATTCATCCAACTCGACGAGGCCCACACAGTCTCTCCTTCCCTTCATTTCTCTCTGCACTGGATTCATCTTAGACCGCTCGGGTGCAATGCATCTTCCTGTATTTCTCTTTATTCAACACTTCACTCTCTCTCTCCAACACCTACCACAAACATTTTCACGCTGCCTTTCCTTTTCCATAATTGTCTTTTTCCTTCCTTCCCCAGGCGTGGCCTTCTCCCTCCTTTTCTCAATCTCCTTTTTCCCCTTCGTCAACAGAACACTATCGGCGTGTTTGTGTAGCTTTTGTTGCACAGCTCACTGCAATACAAAAGCCTTTTATTGGCCTGCCACCGCTGTGATGTGGTGAGACGGAGATGCACAAGGACAAACTTGAGCTCCATGGAGCCAGCTTTCCCAAAGTCACTGTTCATTCTGAGATAACGGCTCAAACCTGAGGGCTGGAGCTGGTGGGGTGCGAGCCAGACACACATGTAAATACTTGTCTGCGTAGTCAACTGATCTGTGAGGCTGTATGAATTCTGTGTATAAGTCGTCCCATGTCGGTGCAATGCTTCTGTTTCCATCAGTGAAATGGCTCGCATGTGTTCCTCAGTGGAAGTTATTGCTGGCTGCAGGGCAGTGGCAGCTGTTGTGAGGGGCTGAGCTAGCTAGGCTAATAATAACCCTGGAGCTGAGTGAGTGCCCACGAGCCCCACATCATCTAGGGTTGAAACCCGGAGTCCGGTTGCAGTGGAGAGTGAGGATTAGGCCAGGTTGCGGATTAGAGAATGCTATGTCATCCTTGTAAGGACACAGGCAGGTGTGAAGGACACACTCAGTGGTTAACGTTGGAGTCGTAACACCCTGAATGCACCACAAGTCTGTGGAAAAAATGCAGGTTGACCTTGTGGTACATAAAGTATTTTTTTCCAAAATCATAAGTAGCATTGAGTGTTCTACTACAAACTAATTGGATTACACACACATAGGAACAGTGAGGCAGAGCAGAGACACGAACAGCAAGTTCTTTATCTTGAATTCTGAGCTGAGGCTTGTTTAGCAAAGCCAGAATGTTTTTTAATCTCCTCAATTCCTATCTGGGCTGAGGAGAAATTAACAAAAAGGCAAACGGACAAGCGCAGAGATGTTACAAAACAGCTGAATAACATGTTAGATCAATACAATCGCCCCCACATGCCGTCAGGCAGATCTTTCACAACAGACAAGGAATCCAAAAAAAAACAACAACAACTCGGAAATCCTCTCAACTGAAAATAATAATGTGCCTTTATCTGCGACAGATACTATCTGCTGTAGGGAAGTAGAGCATGATGTTATAACCTGTACTCTATGACTGGAGGAAATACTCTGAATGGGAAGAAATTTATTCCCCTGTGTATGCTGGGGTACCCGCAGTTACAAAATGATCAAATGCTCATTATGACTAAGGGAAAAGGGTTAGATGATATGATGATCAGGACAATTTCTGCTCTATGCTAAATTTGTTTTTGAGGTCTTTTTTTTCATGTCCGAACACAGGGAGAGATATGGGAGAAATTCAAGCAACGTCATGCTTGGTGTTTCCAGCCTGTAGGTCTGGACCAGTCATGCGTTGATGCCTTTGATAGGGCAAATAACCTTATTGGCTGCCTCCATTCCTATTCATTTCACAGTTCACTCTATTACTTGCATGAGCAATTACAGCTTGGTTTTGTTGTTAGGTATTATTTGCCATTATGTGTGTGTGTGTGGGTGTGTGTGTGTGTGTGTGGGTGGGTGCTTAGGCCTGTGCGTGCAGCTCTTGATTGGAGACCATATTTGCCAAAAATTCCAAACTGTCACCTTTCTTAATGAGCTTCAGTGGGCTGCTGAAGAGGTCGAAACGGACACCATTTAGCATATAATGGCCATTAGCGCCTGTGATGTGACCTAATTGAACCAAAGCAATCAAATAGCCTGGTCCTTTAAGTGTGAAGAAGTGATGTGAACTCTGGGCAATTTCTGTACATTATGGCTTGTATGACATTGTTTGCCATCTTGAAGCAAAAGGCTAGGATGAACAGATGGAAAGCTGTAAGTAAAATTTCTGAGAAAACCTGTTCTCAAAACTATAATTAAAGCGCTCCATGAAAAAAAAAAGCTTGAAAAATACATTTACTGGTTTTCACAGCTCTCCTTTCTTTGCTGGCTAGCTGCTAGCCTGTGGCTCAGTAAAATTGGACAGGTGAAGCGGGACAGTGGGGCGTCACTGATACAGTTCGACAGAACCGCAGGCTGTTCCGAGTTCGATCACCTCATCAAGCGAGAGCAGAGGTGAAAGTGCCGCCCCTCCCCTTAAAAGTAGTTCATGTGCCTGTACTACTATTGCTATATTTGTTTTATTTTGCGGTTGCACTTATTGAGATGAAATGCGTTTCGTGTTGAAAGGGGACCACGCTGAACTCCTTTTACTCCGTCTTTCACTGCACAGATCAAGCAGCAGGCAAAGTGCAGCACGGCCAGATTCAGCAGTGTGGAACACCTATTCAGTAACATTCTTTTCAAGATGTGCTGAGGTTGAAATATGACCATTATGAACCTGTCTTCTGGTTGAGAATAGATTCCTCCGCAGGCCTGTAAAGTTGCTTTTGCTGGAGACATGACTTACAATAAGAGACGGTGCAAGTGTCTTTGTGAGTGTCAGAAATCAATTATGCCATGTTTCCCCCGCGGGTCGCAGGGTTGTATATGTATATGCCCAAGTGTGTGTCTATGTGTGTGTGTGTGTGTGTGTGTTTTCTATTGTGTCTGGGAAGAAGTTTCCACTGTTACTTCAATGCAGTAGAGAGGATAGTGGGAGAGAGCGCCTACAATCTGCACAGAGTGAGAACACAAAGTTGGTTAAAGATTCCTACTGAGTCACTGGCTGGTCTGGATAAACCAAAAAAAGCATGCATGCTACCATGCAGTAACAGTCACAAACAGTCATACACATGCACACCAAGATGCAAAATCACTGTGGGGGTTTTGAGTTCAAAGGATGTTAACCAAACGTGTGTGTTTGAGTGTGTGTGTGTGTGTGGAGGAATGCTGTCGGCCATCATTCCTATGCGCCTTTCCGTGCATGTTTAGACAGGCTCTGTCTCCAGCTGGGATTGTGACAGAATGGGTACAGTGGTATAATAAAATACAAAACAGCACAGCAGTGGAGGACAAATCACAGTGCAGATGTGCAAGAGGACTTTATGGACTGACACAGGAAGGACAGGTCTGGATCACTGAAGTCTCACTGAACTCCCTTTTTGTACCTCTCAAGCTGCATTAGCACCTTTTTAATTAAAAGTGTCACGGTGTAGATAACAGCGTTCACAGAAGTTCGTGTTTCAGCACAGGAAGTACTTAATAGTTTATATTAAAGTGAGACTCACACCCTGCGGGCTTGAAAGGTGGCTGTAAAATTCAGAAAATGTTGCAGGAGTAGTTTGAGAAGTTTCTATGGACCTGTTGACATTTTTTTCTGCCTTAAAATCTTCCGAGCTGACATACATTTAAGCTGACCACAGCTGCTGTTGTCTGTGAAGGAGCAAAGAGCGAGCAAACTTTTAACAGTCAACGTTCAAGCATCCCAGTGAGTGTTTGATAGTCAAAAGATAGATTTTGGGTGAAGTTTCACAATAAAAATCATTTTTGACATCTGATGTATATCTCTGTTTGAAATAAAAGTCACCATGCATCAAGTATTCTTTATCAGCTAGCTAAATAAATCACTGAAGTAGTAAAAAAATACATGGAAAATATATTAAACATACTGGTATATTTTAATAAGGCAAATTAGTTCTGTCAAGCTTCTATTGCTTTTAACAAGTTAAAGTGATACATAAACGGATACGGTCACATGACTTGTTGTTACAAATTTAATGGCCGTTTTAAGGATATGCTAGGGAGCAGAGGGGCTAGAGAGGTAGGAGGAAAAGGTTTGAGCTCGGCAAATTGGAGCACAACAGTACAGAAGAAGGAGAGTCCCCCCCCCCCTCAGCTGATCATACAGGACTCGTAAGTGGGCACCATGTATTTGATGTTTATGAAGGCGTCCTCTCCTCCGTAGCGCTCAAACACCTCCAGAGTCTCCTGGATCAGGTCACCGATGTTCTCCCTTTTCTGCTGGCTGTAGTCGATGCCATCTCCGGAGTTGACTAGGGACAAGGAAACAAAGTCAGAAAGAAAGACATAATGAGAAAACAAAACAAATACAACTTTCTATCGAATGTTTCGGTTCAGTCTGGGTCGTCGCAGACTGCAAGGCTGATGTTAGGGCTCACAAAGCACCACCTGTGGCCGCGCCACATTGCTTTGCTGCAGGCCGAGTCGGCAAATGCCATCCTTCCATCCGACTTCAAACCCAATGAATTATTTTTACTCCTCTTATGACGTGGCCAGTTGGGACTGAACGGGTTTTTAACTGTTCAGCTGAAGGTTTAATGAGGCAGCTTGCAGAGAGGAGAGCAGCGTAAAGGACATCTGAGTTAGTGACTGCTCTGCTGTTGCACAATGCTGCGTTGATGCACACGAAGACATGAGCAGTGGAATCACGCTCCAAAGGTAGGTAGGTGTGTGTGTGTGTGTGTGTGTGTGTGTGTGTGTGTGTGTGTGTGTGTGTGTGTGTGTGTGTGTGTGTGTGTGTGTGTGTGTGTGTGTGTGTCTTTTTTTTTTTATTTGCAGTTTTAGGTGTTTGTGTGGTAAAATAAAAATAGAGCACAGACAGCATAGTACACTTGTGGCCAATCACAATACAGCAAGAAAGCTGCAGAACCCCCTCTCCCCCAGGATGCCAACACAAACACATACACACACAATAGACAGTGCAGTAAAACACACAAAATTTCACAACAGCGCTCTAGCGAGCAGGGGGAACTTGTTATCGAAAAAACATTCCTGAGGTGTCCAGCCTCCACTCCTTCCTTCTTCCTCCTTTCACCAGCAGGCACACTTAAACACACACGCACACACACACGAACCGTGACTTTATCAGCACACAGCAAACTGCCAATCTCATGCCACTGTACTGGGGGCTCAAAACACTTTTCAGAGGGAGGTAAATATAGAGAGAAATGAGGCACGCACGCACACACACTTCCAGCTAAAATATCCCGGAGAAATGCTGCGGATTTATTTCTTGAGGCTACAAAATGAAACAAAGAAACATAGCGGTCATTCGATTCAAAGCGTCTGTTGTATGAGTTACGAAGGGGAAGGGAAGAGAAAAGAAGACTGCACCATGAAGTGTACCTGTGGTGTGAAAAATTAACAGCAGCACTTTAAGGGGGACCCTTCAACTCCTTCTTTCACTCCAAATAATACCTGAAGCTAGAAGGACACATTAAACCTCTCTCCCCGACTCCTTCCTAACACCATCCTTTATTCTTTCTCAATCTTTTCTCATCTCTCATCTTCCCTGACAGACTCAACCTTCCCTCTCTCTCCCTCCCTCCTTGCCTTTCCACCCATCCATGGCCTCCTCATTAAAACACAAAGAGTGCCAGTCTCATAAAGCGGGCTGTTAAGCAGTAACACGTCTATGATCTCAGTCTGCTGCACTTGCTTTCTGCTGAGGATTCACTCTCCTGTTTTACATGAAACCGATGGTGGGGGAATTCTCCAGCCGTGTTTTGACCGCTGGTTAGCCTCGACGCAGTGCAACTTTAACAGCTCTGGCTTTATTTAGCTGTTTGATGTTTTCCCTTTAAGAGAAACAACAATAATAACTGCATATGGTCAGGAATGCAGCCCTTAAGAAAGAGCTCTTGTTCTGTGCCTAAACTCAGGCTGCGTTTTTTAACTCTGCTGCCCACAACGCAGGCGTCTCTACCCTACTAGTTAGCAAAATCTTAAATAGCATCTAAAATGCAGCCATCTGAGCAATAAAAGAAAATAAGGCAAAGCAATCAGAGAGGAATGAAACACAGAAGTGTGCTGTGATGTGTGTAGTTTGGGCGGCAGAGTGGTGAAAAGTAAAGAAAAAAGTGACAGAAGTCAGGCAGGTCACTCTTACAGTCTGTTTCAGCTGTGTTTTGTGTTTGTGTGTGTGTGTGTGCATGCGTGTTGGTGTAGGTTAAAAAGCCAGGCCTGTGGAGAGCCACCCCCTGTTAGAGTGAAAATGAGCAGTCAAAGCCAGCCCAGAGGGAGAGCTTGGCCTTCCAACTAGAGAACACGGGAAGCCGGGGAAGAGGTGCGGCTTGGGAACCGTCAAAGCTCAGACCCGTTTACTGGGGCCTGGAGGGGGGGAGCAAGGAGGTCCTGCAAGAGGGGAATTGTTGCTGTTGCTATACTGAGCTTTTCAGCCCTTCCATGTGCATTTCTTTTGCTGAGCTGTTGGGAGGCCAGTAGCATCAAAAGGAGGAGGCCAGAGGAATTTGCAACGATTCTCAATATTTAAAGAGCAGAAAAGGGAGAAATGTGTTTAAGGAGGGAAAGGAAGGGAGGGGAGAGGGGGGTGTGGGTGCTGCCTCTACAAATGTCCTTCAGCAAAATAACTTCTCTTTCTTGCTCTTCTTCTTCTCTCCCCTCCCTGTCTCTTTTCTCTTACTCACTCTTTCTCTCTCTCTGCTTTTGGCAATATCCGCAACCCTGGGCAGACAGAGAGAGAGAGAACAAAATCTTTAAAAACAATCATAATAAAAACTCCCGCCCTGTGAACAGAAGGAAAAGGGCCCTAGCAGGAGCCTGGAGGAAGAGGAAGGGTCGATACAGACGCCAACAGGGGAGGATTCTAGTGCAGCAACATTTGCGACACAGAAGAAGGTGGAGGAAGAAAAGGAAGGTGGCACAGAAGAGGTGCTTTGTTTCAGCCTTTCATGCTAAATCCCTGGGATTGGAGGGGTCTGAAGCACAAAGACCACAGAGGTGAGGAGGATGGGATGAAGTGAAAGATGAGGCATCTATCTACAGTATCTATCTGTCTGTCTGTCTGTCTGTCCATTAAGGCAACAGGGCCTGTGCCTCTCTTGGACCCTGCTGTGATTTTTCCCAAACGACACCAGACCAACACTACAACAGCTACACACAACAACAGCTGCAGCCTTCCTCCTCCTCCTCCTCCCTGCTCTTTCTCCATCCCCATGGCCCTAAACAACCTGTCTTCCCACATCAAGCTGAAGACAAGCAGTCATAGATGCAGGCGGCGCTCAGAGTTTCCTCCAAACTAATTTCAAATATACAGACAGAGGATTTTAAGGGGATATTTACTGTTTGGAACCCAAGCATGATGGATGATTATCAGACTGTAACACAGCTGCACTGTAACCCCTGTCTTTAGATTGCTGACCGAGGTTGGCACGCATCATGTGTATGTTCACGGCTATAATCCCCTCCTCTGCCAGGGACCGGGTGACACACACACTGCAGCAGCTTTGGGATGTTTAGCTCAAAATTCCAGAGCTGATTCAACATAATATCAACCCACCAGCTGTTGTTTCTAATCAACTTACCCGTAATTGTGGAACTTCCTTAAGAAAGCAGCTTAGACAGGTTCCCCCCCTCCACATCTCAACACAATAGCTTGTTGATCATAGCAGCCAGATGCAGAAGAGAATCAATACATGTGAGACCTGGGCTTTTTTTCCAAGAGGTTTGGCCTTGCTTAAACAGGGGAAATGGAGGAATGCAGGTTATGAGTGCGATGGAGCAGCTTGAGTTCCAGGAACACTTTGTGCAGAAGTTGACCGCGGCTGCACAGCTGAGGGTGTCATGTGACTGCATGTGTTTTCATTTCAACAGCCACGCACTGATAATCCTCCGTCCCCCAATCCATTTTTTTTTCAGGGTTCCATATCAGCATACGGTTATACATAATCTTTTGTGTTAAAATACTTTGGTACGATGTGTAAGATTTGGACAGAAGTCATTCAGACTTTTTGTGTGTATGAAAACAACGACTGCAAATCTCTTCTCTAAATGCACTGCCTTACTCAGATGTGCATATGTTTCTGGTTTGTCAAACAAATAGTCAAAGATGGGGAGCTAAATCTGATCTCAAGTAGTGCCGGCATTTTGGATTCCGGTGGTGTGATATGTATTACAGTCTAGTTTGATCTACAGTGAAGAAAATCTAGATCAATTTGGATATATGGATACAATAGAGCTGATAAAGCTGATCCTGATACTATGTGTGAACCAGGCCATAAGGACAGGGGGAGAGAGAGAGAGAGAGAGAGAGAGAGAGAGAGAGAGAGAGAGAGAGAGAGAGAGCATAGTGGTGGTGAGTGTGTGACAGAGGGTGTGTAGGTGTGAGTAGGTGGTAGGGAGTGGATGAGACCACTTGAGGAGGCCTGTGCTTAACAGCAGGGCTCTAATTAAAATGGCCTCACAGTTGGGCGTCAGGCAGGCCTCTCATAAAGAGACTCTCTGGCAGAGAGGTGGGAGAGATAAGGTGTGTGTGTGTGTGTGTGTGTGTGTGTGAGAAAGGGAGAGGGAGAGAGAGTGTCTATGTGTGTATGCCTAACCACAGGTGTCTGTGAAGTAAATGCAGCAAATGAGAGTGAAACAGACTATCCTAGCAGTATGTGTGTACACTCTAAAGCCCTTTTTTAAACAGGTATCCCGCAATACTGCCGTAAAGAAGACTGTAAAGTCATTACACTAGCTTTGATTTTTTGAACCAAACAACGTTGTGGAAGTAAATACAACAGCACCAGCGTCTAGTGTGATCCTTCTAGCTCCCCTACATTACACGGAAGTTGATGTTGTTAATACCTCCGCTTCTGGCTTGTATACTTTATACAGAATGGTGAGGAGGAATAATCGTGCAACATTCCCGCCTTGAACAGGCTGCATAAAAGGGGCGTACTGTCAATATGAAAATAAAGAACATTGTCATAACTTATTAATATATACACTTTGAACAAATATTTCCCCCTTCACTTAATAGCAGAAAGATTTTAAGTTAGTGGAACTTGTTTCAACTGTGCACCATCGCCTCAAAGCTAAGGACAATCCTGAATTTGCCTGGGCTTATTTTGCTGTTAAACTGCATCTACCAAGCCATCAGTGCCACGCAAACAGAAGTTACTTGGTAAGTAACTATTTCTGCTTTGTTTTATTTAAAACAGCTACTAACCATATCACCACATAGTGTAAGAAATCATTTTCACACAGCACTAAACTTGCGTAAAATTACATCTTGTATTAAGTTAATTGC